TGGGAGGTCTCGTGGAGTGGAGCTGTACGGGGGCACACTTGAGACCGCGCGGCTCTCTGGAGAGGCTGCGAAGTGGTAAAGTCTCGCCACGTTCTTGGTCTCCTCGGAGGTCGCGCAGCGTGGAGCTGTACGGGGGCCCTCTTGCGACCTCGCAGCTCCCTGCGGGGTTGCGAAGTGTTGAATGGTCGCCACTTTCGTGGGCTTCTGCGAGGTCGCGCGGAGAGGAGTTGCATGGGGACCCAGTTGAGACATCGCGGCTCTTGAGGGGGGCTGCGAAGTGTGAAACTGTCGACACTTTCGTGGGCTCCTGGGAGGCCCAGCGGAGTGGAGTTGTATGGGGACCGCTCCGTATGCTTCTGCCTGCGTCCCTAGTTTGCCATTACTGCATGTGCTTTTGCATATTTCTGAGACCGAGTAATTTCAAGGGGTGCTTACTGTGTTTGGGTTATCGTTTTGAATGGAGCGCTGTGGTCCCCACCTGTTCTGCTTCTGCCTCCCCCCTCCTCCTGCCTGCGTGGCTGTAAACTGCGGAACTGTCACCATTTTCGCGGGCTCCTGGGAGGTCCAGCGGAGTCGGAGGGGCACGCGCACCCGGACGAGACCTCGCTGCTCCCTGCGCGGCTGCAGACTGCGCAACCGTCGCAACGTTCGTGGTTTCCTGGGAGGTCCAGCACGCGCACGCAGACGAGACCTCGCTGTTCCCTTGGGTGGCTGCGGACTGCGCAACTTCGCCACCCACCAAAGCACCCCAGCCCAACCCGAAGGCTTCAATTTGCCCTCCATTTCAAGTGGGGCGGGGTCGGGGAACACTGACATAAACACACATGGTTTCCGTACCCCCCAAGCCCGATGTTCGGCTCAGATTCGGGTCTTCGGGCTGGGTTGGGGTGGTCTGGTAGCTTAGTTGCAACTGCTGCATCTTTCGCGGGCTCCGTGGAGCTCCCACGGCGCCCAGGGGCGCGCGCGCCCAGACGAGACTTCGCGACTTCCTGGGGGGCTGCGAAGTGTGCAGTCGTCGCCCTTTTCGTGGGCTCCCCGGCGGGGGGTCGGGCGGCGCGCGCACCCAGGCGAGAATTTCGCCTGCTCCTCGGGCGGCCGCGGGGTGCGCAGCCGTCGCCGCTGTCGTGGGCTCCTGGGAGGTCCGGCGGAGTCGGGGGGCACGCGCGTGCAGATGTTACCAGCCTCGAACGTATCCCTATCCCTAAGATTGACACGTCAAAAGGCGATGACAATCTTAGGGATCCGCCCTCAAAAATTAAGGGAATCCCTAAGATTGGCATCGTGATGAGGAGGTGCCCAGCATAGGGATAGGGATATTATCCAGGCTGGTAAATATGAGACGTCGCTGGGCGGCTGCGAGCTGTGCAACTGTCGCCACTTCCATCGGCTCCCGACACGTCCAGCGGAGTCGGGGGGCACGCGCACCCAGAAGAGTCCTCGCTGTTCCCTTGGGTGGCTGCGGACTGCGCAACCATCGCCAGTTTCGTTGGTTGCAGGGAGATCCTGCGGAGTCGGGGGGCACGCGCACCCAGACGAGACCTCGCTGCTCCCTGCGTGGCTGCGGATTGCGCAGGCACGCGCACGCAGACGAGACCTCGCTGCTCCCTTGGATGGCTGCGAATTGCGCAACCGTTCGCAAGTTTCGTGGGCTCCTGGGAGGTCCAGCGGAGTCTTGGGGGCACGCGCACCCAGACGAGACCTCGCTCTTCCCTGGGTGGCTGCGAACTGCGCAACTATTGCCTCTTTCGTGGGCTCATGGGAGGTCCAGCGGAGTCGGGGAGCGCGCGCACCCAGACGAGACCTCGCTGCTCCCTGGGCGGCTGCGGACTGCAACAACGTCACCACTGGCGTGGGCTCCTGGGATGTCCAGTGGAGTCGGGGGGCACGTGCGTCCAGATGAAACTTCGCGGCTCTTGGCGAGGCTGCCCCTTGCACAGTTGTGGGTATCTTCGTGCGCAAGGGTCATTCCCTTTAATAGCCGCCCTGCGTGGAGAAGGGGTCGGGTAGTCTCAGACCTTCGCGGTGAAGGCATCCCCATTCGAAGCTCCTTGCTACAAACGGTTCTAATTATCAGCTTCCACTGCTGGAGAGTTCCTGACTACGGATCCCCGAACACTAGAAAGCAGCCCTTGCTGAAGGAGCGGGCCCCTGATGCCACGAAGCGCTGTGTATTGGTTGCTTTGTTTGTTTTCCGTTGTCCGGGAAGCTGGGAAGCAGAGACACACCGTGTTTATGTTTTCACAGGTTTCGGCGGCTCCAGTGCCCACCAGGGCATGCCCCCAGCACTCTCTCGGAGCCTGCATAGCCAAAAAACAACAACAGCCAACAACCAAAAATACACCGTGATGCAGTGTGTTCCAGATCAACAAACATGCACAGCGTTTCGTTGCACCGAGGGGCCGTTCCTGCAGCACAGAGGCCTTGGTATTGCTTGTTAGATGTATTGCATATTCTGTTCGTAAGGACTCCTTCGTCAGGATGCCTTTAATAAGGGACCCTTACTCGGGTCTCTACTAGAGTCATGTTTTCTTCCGTACTGCAAGAAATCCTTACACGGTGTCCCTTATTCGAGGAAGCCACACTAAGGATCCCATATTGAAGGTATCCTGACGAAGGAAGCCTCATGGAGTCCATCGCTAAGGACCCCTTCTGAAAGGAGCGGGCACTCGGTGCCACGAGACGCTTTGTATGCTGGTTTGTTTGTTGCTTTGTTTCTTGCAATATATGCCCTAGGAGGCCGCGAGACACTGTGTACGCTTGTTTGTTTGTTTGTTTGTGTGTTTCTTTGTTACTTTGTTTGTTTGTGTTTGTTGTTGTTATGGTTGTTGTTGTTGTTGATGCTGCTATTGTTGTTGTTAGGGGGGAGGTCGGAGGCTACAGTGCCCACCGCGGCCTGCCCCCCCCCACCCCCCCCCACACCCCTCTCTGCGCCTCCAAAGCCCCACAAAACGACATGCGTCCCAGACCAAACGCCAGTATAAAACACAGCAGATTCACAGCGTTTCGTGGCACCGAGGGCCCGCTCCTTTGGTAAGTGGTCCTTAATCATGCTGTCTCTGTAACCGTTGAGCGGCCCCGAGGAACAGACACCGCCGCCCAAGTGTTTTTGGAGCGCGATCACTTTGATGCAGATGTGGGGAAGTGTGAGCGGAGTGGTGTGAACGAGGGAAAGTGGATGGGGGGGAAGCACCGCGATTTCGTTTTTGGCTCCTGGAGAGGCTCACGGGGGGCACACCGGGGGGGGCCCCGGACGGCCAACAAGAATTAGCTAGCGAAGGCGCCCCAGGGAGCTCGGGGGGGTCCGGGAGGCAGGCGAGACGGCCGCAGAGAGGGAGGCCTTCGCAGGAACGTGGCTGCTCAAGCTGGCCGCGAGGACCGGCGAAACGAGGGGCCCCGAGGGACCCCCCCAGAAGCGGCGTGGCTGGCTCGGGGAGAGGTTGCCGAGAGGGCCCCGCGGCGCCCCGAGAGAGAGCACCGGCAACGGAGGTCGTTTTTGGACGGGAGCGGTGGCAGGAGCGGGCTGGAGTTAAGTCGGGCCGGTCCCTCTACAGGGGGAATATATAATCAAAAAATAGTCTGGGGATCGTGTTCAGACTGTTGTTGAACATGTTCGGAGTATTTGGGGACTACTTTTCATTGTTCGTCCAAAATCCCCCTGTAGGGGGACAGGCCCGACTTAAGGCTGGAGGAACGAGCGGTCCCCGGGGAGGGCCCAGGAGGGGCGCGGAGAGGCGAAGGGGCAGGGATCGGTATAGAGAGTGAGCTGGCGAGGGGGCTCGCGAGGAGCAGTCCTCGCGGCTCATGCGGTGGTGGTCCCGCACGCTGTGTGTTCTCTCTTCAGTCGTCGTGTCGCTCACTCCGCCAGCACATCTTGTAGCACTGGTGTCATACGTGGGCGAGCTCGGGGCAAGAGAGACGGACGGGCAGGAGGATGAGGAAGAGGAAGAGGGGAGGATGAGGATGAGGCCTCTCCACGGCTTTGGGGGGCATTGTTGGGGCTAGTATTGGTCTCGGACAGGGCGCCTCGTCTGGAGGCGTGCGGAGGTCTTTTGGTAAGGATTCCTTCAGTAAGGGCTCCTCCGTCAGGATGCCTTGTGTATAAAGTCCTTAGTAAGAATTCTTCTAGTAAGGAGTATTGGGTAAGCACCCTTTCCGAGTAAGGGTGCCTTTGCTAAAGGAGTCCGTTGTATTTTTTTTTGGACAAGGAGGAATCCTTAGGGAAGAAGCCTGTAGTCAGCCTCGGTTTCTCATCTCTGTGCGAACGTTGCGTGCTGTGAGTAGAGGGCAGGCCAAGGCCAGCCACCTGAAGACCGAGTATATGCTCGATCCTCCCCCGCTCTGGGCCGTCGCTGGGGGGGGTCGAGCTGTAGGTGTGTGTATAGTATATTTACATATATATATATATTATAGATAGATTCTCATCTATGTATATGTATATATATATGTATGCACACACGCAGTCATACATACACATATTTGCCTATAGATGTCGAGGCGCTGTGGAGGGTGATGGAACCTGTGGTGTCGGTAGGGATCCATGGGAAGTAGTTGGTGCCTATAGCGCACGTGATTCCTGGAGAATATGACGGAAGTGTGTGTGTGGGGGTTCTTTGGGATATTAAAGAGATACATAGTTGTAGGTATTCGTAGAATCGAATGGAAGCCTCTAGAATTCCACACATGTGTATAGGAGTTCTTAGGGGTGGCCTGGGAATTCGCAGCAAGCCGTGCCTGGTCGAGTCACTCCAGGCCAGCCCCTGCCAATCCTGACCAGTCGAGTCCAATCGAGTGGGCCCAGCGATCACTACCCTGCCGAGTCCAGTCCAGCCAAAGTCAACGCTTCCCTCCTGGTCAAAGGCGGGACGCGTGAGTGAGCGAACGCTGCGAATTTTGGGGGTAAGCAGAGATCCGCGAGCGGCGCCAAACCAGCGATAGCCGGTCAGGTGAATGAGGCGTTCGCCAGCCTTCACGCAGAGGTGCTGCCCGTGCATCCGATCCAGATGCCCCAGCGCCACAAGGATGGCTTGATGTTCGATCATTGGGAGATTGCTTGGTGGAAGCTCCAAATCTGGAACCTCACCCAGTTCGAGAAGCTCATCTGGCTCGATTCGGATGCCATTCTCACCCGGAGCATTGATTGGTTATTCGACCGCCCATGGATGTGGTCGCAGCGGGATGACTGGTTCTGCGATCTGAATGTGCCCAAGGTGTGTTCGGGCATCGTGCTAATCTACCCAGACGAGAAGGATTTTGAGGGACTCTTGAAGTACGCGGCCGAGGAGCTCAGGGACAGACTAATAATTTTGGTATGAACCAGTCCATGAGCTGGCCTCCCCTTCTCGCTTGCAGTGTTGTACCTGTCCCCATTGTAAGAGAGGGGGAGCAGTCGTGATAGTTGGATCCTTCTGGGGCAGTCTTGAGACGTTCAGCTGCCTCTAGCCGACCGTGCCAACATGTCAGCGCCACATAGAAATGTAGCTTGATTGATTTTACTTACCTTTCTTGAAACAGCTCGGCACAGCTATGGCCCTACGGGTTTCCCGCGAGGCGCTTTGGAATATGTGGGGCCGTTTTGGGTTCGGTGGTTCTACACAGCTAAAGCATCGGTATAATCATCGTAGATTCGTCCGAGAAGCAGCGCCGAGATTGTTGAGCGTGGTTCGGCTGTCAGGTTGCATGCTTGCAGCGTGTCATGTTGGGGGGCTCTTGGACTTTCATCGCGGGCGCCTGTGGGGTCCCTTGGGGCCTGTCAGGTCAGGTCTCTTGGGCCCCTTTGGGGGCAACTGGTTGGGGGGACCTCTGGAAGTGACTGGAGGCCCCTGGAGGGCCTGTTCAGGACCTGCGCGCCGTCTCGTGCGCGATGGTTCAGTCGAGCTCTCCCTCAGATGCCAGCATTAAGTTGGGCCTCTCCCTCTACAGGAGGAATATTTGAAAATAGTCAAATAATAGGCTGGGGACGATTATTCTATAACTTCTTGACTATTATTGAATTGTTTTGGATACTTTCTGGGTTTTTCGTCCACAATCTCCCAGTAGGAGGACACGCCCGACCTAATGCCAGCATTTTCGCCCTGGCACCCCCCGGAAGAGTCTTGGGACCCTGTTGGATCTGTCCCAGGGTTGTGTTGGGTCGTCTTGTGGGGGTTCTTCGGGCCGCATTCGGCCCTCAGAAGATTACATAAAAGCTGTCTTGTGGGTGTGTCATGTGGTTCTCTTGATTCTATGGTATGTAGTCCGGTCCTCGTGGGCCAGTCTTGAGGCGTCTTGGGGCCGTCTTAGATTGGTCTTGAACCATCTTAGGACAGGAGGGCGCTGGATACCACATCGTCGGGGCGGCGATCCCTGTGACGGGGTCGAGCGGGAAGACGGACGCAATAGGAATTTTGCAGAAACCTTGACAGGTAGTGTGCAGGCATTCTCAAACGCCCCTGTAGGTCTGCGCGGTTGCAGATTATACTTAGTCTGTCGTTCCATAACGCTGCTTACCCGGGGATGTTAATAATGGAAGCGTTGTTAGTGGTCATGATGACTAGATCTACGAATGTAACGACTATGCACCGCAAGGACGATGCGCAGGAGTTGCAAGAGGATAATGGCGAGGATGGCTACGACAATGGGAAAGGGAGTGCCCAGCATTGCAATGATCGTGCCCCGATGTATGTACCCCCCTCTGCTCCTTGACGTTCGGCGTGTGGGGCCCCGAATAGCTTACCTCGACGTTCTCGCCCCCACTCAGCAAAACCTCACTGGCGTGCGGGAGCGCAAGAGCAGCGCACTCGTGGCTCCCTGGCTCGGAGGTTCTTCTGCTAGTCTGACTCCAGGGAGGCCGAGGGAGAGTAATCGGTAAGACTGGGGTGATTCGGATCAGTTCTTGCGCAAACAGTGTTTGCGTGGGCCCTTATACGATTAGGTGCAAGGTTGCTGAGGGATTGACTCTGAGGTGTTAGGGTTCGTTTGGCCACGACGGTGCCTCACTATTTTCTGGTTGGTTTTGAAGCGTTGGTTGACCTGTGGGCCACATTGCTCTGGAATGCTGGACTTTGGAGGTGGTAAATATGTGCGCCTTTCGTCCCGTTTTTGATCTGGCACGCCAGTAACATCGACTGGCCGCACTTGCCTGAACATGCTCCAAAGTTGTGTCAGATTTTTGCATTTGTGCCCACACGCTCCCACGTGCCACCAAATGCGCCCGCTTGCGCCAAGTTCCTTCTACTTGCCCCGACTTGCGGCCACCTGCACGATCCTGATTTGCTGTCGCATGAGTTAAGCTATTGGTTGTAGCCCACGAGCTGGTATAAAAGCCAAGGCATGGCGCATGGGCAGATACATACCCATGTTGGCGAAGGCTGAAGCAACTTTTCACACGAGCTTGGCTACGCTAAACTATGTCTATATATCTATGTATATATATATATATATATATATCGAAGTAGGCCAGGGGGGGCGGGGGCTGGGCCGGTGCCGTACTCCCCCATAGGGGGGATTGGGGGGGTCTCAGGGCTCCCGGGACTGCCCGGGCCCGCTCCCAAACACGCCACGACACGCCAAGAGGGTCCTAAAGATTGCCAAGACAGCCCCCAGAAGCCCCGGACACGCCGAAGATGGCCTTTGGACGGCCGACGACGCCGCCAAAACGCCCCAAGAGCGCCTCCAGAGGCCCCTCCAAATGGCCCCAGAAGCTGAAAATCATACATTTTCCGGTGGTGTTTGATGCATGTTTGCGCTCTCCCATGTTCCGCCTCCCCACGGTCCCCGACGGCGTCAGAGGCCCTTCAGATCGCTCCAAGACGGCCGAAGAGGCTCCCAAGAAAGCCCAGAGACGGCCCAGGAGGCTCCCCACAGTTCAAGAGGGCCTCGAGAGCGCCCGAAGAGCGCGACGCCATCAAGAGGCTCCCAAGAAGCCCCAAGAGGCTCCCCGGAAGCCCCAATAGGCCCCCAAGGGGCCCCCAGGGAAGCCCCCTGCGGGCCCCCAAGACACCTCGGTAAATCGTATTTCCCAGACAGCTTTCCGGGACCATGAATCCTTGGGATTCCGCCCACCGCCCCAACCATGTTTCCAGTAGGCTTGCCGACAAGGCCCAAAGGGGCCCCTCGGTAAGCCCCCAGAGGCCCACCTCGCAAGAGAACCGAACAAATCATGTTCCCGGAAAGCTTCCCGGGAACATGTTTCTCGGGTTGCCGCCCTCTGTCCAAACCATGTTCCCTAAACACTTGCCAGGAACAAAAAAAATTGACAGTCCCAAGCAGCGCTACGTGCCGCCACGCTCGGAAACGCAACAGGCCCCGAAGCCTCCGGAGGCGCCCAACGACACCCCAACAACTCATGTTCCCAGGAAGTCTCACGGCCAGTGCTGCCGACGCTGAAGGAGGACGGTCCAGGACACCCAAAAAATCTTCCAAGCAGGCTTCCAAGAGGGCGCCGAGACAGCCCAGGGCCGCCCCCAGACGGCCCAAGAAAACCCCACCACAGACGAAAGTAGCCGCAAGAGGCCTCCAAGAGGCCCCGAAACGCGGACATATCGTTCGAACACGTCCAAGATGGCCTCCGGACGGCCCACAAGGCTTCCAACACGGCCCAAAGGGACGCCAAAATCATTGATTGCCCTTAGGTTTTTGATGGATTTCAGCAATTCTGCCTGCATGTTCAGGGTCCCGACTGTCCCGGACACTCAAATATCGCCCCAACAGGCTCCCAGGAGTCGAGGGCGCCGAGATGGTCCAGGGACGCCTTGCCGCGGGCACGAGGCGGGGCCCAGGACGGGGCCCTCGCACCGGGGGGCGGGGGCCTTGCCGCGGCGCTGGGGGCCCTGTAAAGTCGCCCGAAGACGGCCCTGGATTGCCAGAAATGGCTTTTCCAGACCACGAAAACGACCAATGACCGCCCGAGATCACCCCAGAATTAGTCTCTGACTGTCCAAGAGGACTCCAAGACTCCCCGAGAGGCCTCCAAGATGGCTCCCAAGGATCCCCCGGAGGCACATCTAATTTGTTTTCCTCTGGTCTTTGAGCGATTTTCGAGTTTTCGCCTTTTCGGTTTCCTGACGCTCCGCGACGGCCCAAGAGGCCTCAATTTCCGCTCCAAGACATCCCCTGAGGCCTCGAAGACGGTCACAAGACAGCCCACGAGGGCCCCAAGACGGCGCCAGAGGCGCCCAAGGCGGCCCGAGAGGGCCCCAAGACGACCCCAAGATGGAGTTGACACGAGCCAAAAATCCGAGCCTTCCACCCCGAGAGGCTCTCAGGAGGCCCCGAGAAGCTTCTAACAGGCTCCAAGAGGCCCCAAGAAGCCCCCCAGGGGGCCGAAGAGTATCCAAGAGGCCTCCCACGAATGCCCCAATAGGCCAAAATCAATGTCTAGCCATAGGTTTTTGATTGATTTTAGAGTTTTCAGCCTTTTGGCGTCTTGACGCTCCAAGACGGCCCCAAAGGTCTCCAAGACCAATCCAAGATAGCCCAAGACGGCCTCCAACAGGGCCCAAGACAGTCCGAGAGGGCACCAAGACGGCCCCAAGGGGGGCCCAAGAGGGGTAAGTCGAACCGAAAATCCGAGCCCTCCACCCCGAGAGGCTCTCAGGAAGCCCCAGAGGCCCCCAAATAGGACCCAAGAGGCCCTCAAGAAGTTCCCCAGAAGGCCGAAGAGGTTCCAAGAAGCCTCCCAAGAAAGCCCGAAGAGGCACAACTCATTGTTTTCCCAGTGGCGTTTGATGGATTTAAGAATTCCCAGCCTTTTGGCATCCCCACGCTCCAAGACGGCCCAAGTGGCCCCCAAGACCGCTCCAGGATATCCAGGATAGCCGAAGAGGCCTCCAAGAGGGCCCCAAGACGGCCCACGAGGGCCCCACGACGGTGCCTGAGGCGCCCAAGACGGCCCGAGAGGGCCCCAAGAGGGCCCCAAGAGAGCCCCAAGAAGGGGAACGCGAACCCAACAGCAGAACCTTCCGCCCTAAGAGGCCCACAGGAGGCCCCAAGTGTCCCCAAGTGGTCCGACGAGGCCCCCAAAAGCCTTCCACCAGGCCCCAAAGGGCTCCCACGAGGCGCACACGGGGCCCCAAGATAGCCGAACCGTGCTCTCGATGCATCAAAATTGCTTCGAGGAGGCCCCGGGAGACCTCCAGATTGCCCCAATGTGGCCGCCGGGCCTCCACGCAGGCAAGACGGCCAATTGACTGCTTCGGGCTGCAGAACTTCACTGTCCGACTGCCCGGAGAACCCTGGCGATGCCCCCAAGGGACCCCAAGAAGCCCCAAGACGCCCCCCCCCCGAGAAGCACCCAACAGGT